TCCATATCTCCCAATAAAGCCGATAATAGGGACGACTTGCCGGCGCCCACACGACCCACAACTGCCACCAATGACTGCCTCTCTATCTCTATATTGATATTCTTGAGCACAGAATCGTTGCAATTGTTATCCCAATTGAATGAAGCATTTTTAACAATAATAGGAGTCTTTTGATTGGGTTTGTGGTCAACGAAACTCTCATTCACTTCATTAGCGTTTAAATAAGCATTCATTCGCTTCACTGAAACTTTACACTAAAATTCATAACAAATAATTAGATTTAATTAAATTTTAAAACTAATTAACTAACAATTATAGTTGCGGTGACCAGTGCTGGAATGGTTTGTATTGACCCTTCTATTAAATTGTAAATTGATAAAATTAATTATGTTTTATATTTATATTTATTGCAATTTAAATACTGACTGATTATATTGAACAACAAAAGGGAAACAAACGCTTTATTCGGGTCCAGAATATTCTGGTCAGACATGTATAGGAATGCCGTAAAACTGCATAAACTAACCTTTGATACAAACAATAATACAATAAATAATACAAAAACTAAAATTTAAATTATTTACTAACCAGATATGGTGTGGCTGTGGAAATGGCATTCTTAAAAACGCCCGACACCATCACCATGATTAATTCACGGCACTCGCTGGCTCTGCGCTCAGATACCCGTTTCATGAACGCCGGTTCCCACGCGTACAGCTTTAACACCTTTATATTGTTAATAATCTCGGTAATGGCCGACACTCTGCGGTCGGTTAATGTAATTATTTTACGCCACAGCCGGTGCTCACGGGTCAGTACAAGTGAATTAATTGGTATCAATAGTATCATAACAGCCACACCGGCCAGAGTGGCGGCGCCCAACTGAGGCCATAGTAAGCACGTGGCGATTATAACAATTGTTGGCGTCAGCCATAGATTGTTAACGTAGCTAAAAAATGATTTCAAGTAATGCATATCATTGGAGATAAGGTTAACGACATCACCGGTGGTGTAGGCCATGCGCCCGGCGCTGGACAGCCGTATGGACTAAGGATTAAGATGTGAATAAACAATTTATTTAAATTAAAAATCATCGCACCTTCTCGTAAATTACGGATGTGACACATGATTTAATTTTCATAAGCATCAGGTTTTCCAAGCGTTTGCACTGTCCTTTCAGCACCGATGCCAACACAGGCGATACAAACATAGCTCCAGCGTATAAATAGCCCCTCCAAATGGGTTCGCCGGTGTCTGAGCTCGTGTTGGCATGGGATGTGATGAATGTAATGAGTCGGTCGAGTACTAGGGGTTGAGTGAATGTTAATAAACTTATCAATAGTTTAATAAATGCAATGATTAGAAGTGTTGGCCAATAAGTCTTCAACACTACTGGGAATATATTGATCGCATGTTTTGCACTGTTTTGTTGCATTGGTTTCCAGTGTTTATTGAATTGTTTGATGAAAACATTGGTCCGATTCTGTGTGGACAGCGACCACATGTCTTCAGTGGTCAATGGTTTCCGATAGCCATTCATAATCATTGGTGTAAACCATGAAAATGTGAGACGAGATAAAAATGATGATTCATTTTCGGGATTAGAATTCTTTAAAAAGTATGAAAACTTAATTTTTAAAATTGTTTTAAAAATATCTAATATTTTGAGTTTTAGGTACTTCTCTGTCGTCAACAGTTGTGAAGACTTGTGTTGAGTCCGCAAAACATGAGAGCAATAATTGAGTGATAATTATTGGGAATGAAAGCGATTTTGTGGTAAATGTGACGACATTTATACTCGACTCTATCGGTGCCTTTGAAATAAATGGATGAAAGTTTTATTAATTAAATAATTATAAATCAAGTAATTAATTACATCACTGAAGGCAGTGGTAAGTATTGTTCTGTAGTTAAATGCGGTTCCGATAGACAAACACAACCAGAATATGAATAAAACGCCCGAAGTATTCATTACTCGCTTCTTGTGATTAATTATCAAAATAATTGTATAAACCTTTAAAAAAAATAATAATTAATTTTACAATTAAAATATATTAAGAAATACATACAAAAGTTAATGTCATTATTAAATGTGTAATAATTTCCACTAAATTATTTGGATAACTGTTGATTGCATTCAAGAGTTGCGATAAACTGAAAATTAATAGCACTCCTGATAGACACTAAAATAATTAAAATATAATTAATTTACATATTTTTAGTCAATTATATAAATAATATTATAAATACAATTCTAGTGGTGGAGAGTAGAGTCCATGTCGTGGGATGTGATGAACCCCTGGATGTGATCACTTCTGGCGACCGATTGTGCCATTCATACCTTGATGTGATAAATAATATAAGAGATGGCATCCATACGAGTGCTGTCCACTCAATACTGAGACCAAACTCGGGAAATGAATCCATAGTCGAGTCCTAATAAATGTAAAATTCATATACAATTAATTATATTTTTAAACTTCAAAACTTACCTAAAACTGTGACAATTATTAAATCGCAAAACTAATTCACTTTTAATAAAATCTTTTTATCATTAAATTCAATGAACAGAATATTATGTATAAATAAAATTAAACTAAATTCATATCAATTATTTTATTAAGTATTATTTGTTCAATAAATGAATAAATATTTACTACATTTACATGAAATACAGTTATAACTAAAGCTGTTCAGTAAATGTATTTATTCTTGGTGAAATATGTTATATAATATTTATTTAAAATGGCCAAATATTTACTTATATATTTATTTATAAGTCTCAAAATTCTATATAAATTTTAATTAATGTATTCTATAGACAAAATAACGAAATATTGTGCTAGAAATGTTCGTTAGCCTTTTAAATCATATTTAAATAGTGTTAATTAAAGGCAAAGTATAAATTAAAATTATATCAATTGTTTCCAAGTCAAACTAATGATATACTATCCCATCATTATGTATTACAAGTATTTATTATTGTTTTGATTTATTATTAAAAAACATTTAGAAATTATTTCATCATTTAATATATATTTAGACATTTTGTGCCATGAATTTCAAATAAATTAATGATTTTTATGCTTTTTGACCAAATATTTATTTATAAGTCAAATATGTATTTATATGTAAAATAAAACTTTGTTAAAATGACCCTTATTATGTAATTCGTTTGCCCCCAAAGTTCCAAACATACATCTTTAACCGATAAATATATTTAAAAACATATTCTGAACAGCTTTAGTTATAACAGGCATTCTTGTGTTACAACATTGCATTTTGTGCCAATACATAAACAGTTTACTATTATTGTACTAATTCACCACAATCACTCACACTGCATTAATATTACAAGTGTCATTGTTCATTTTTACAATAATTGTTTACCTCTTGAAATAAAATATGTATTGCATTCTACACTGTGTATTACTTGTACATAGTTCTTATCACACCTTATACTATACAATATGTCAATCATTATATTAATCATGTATTTCTAGATAAGACTAAATATAATATTACATTTTAGTGTTCAACAGATTAAATTAAAATTAATTATTTAAAAAATTATTGTAAACATGCCATTACTTTAACAAACTTTAACAATATTGGATTGTATGTAAAGTATTACTTTACAGTATTATGCAAGAATACAACATGCCCTTGAACATTATTATGCCATGGTTACAAGGATTTATATATAATACAGGTAATGTTATGATGTTAAATGCACTCGTCAGGTATATATTATTAATAGTATTAGTACTAGACTATTTAGTCGATATAATTTTATTATATAAATATTATTATTTAGAAATCGTAAGCTTAAAAATAATATAAGAATTAAATGTTAAGCGTATAGAAAATTTTAAGTTTACATCAAAATAATATAATAACTGTAATGTTACGTAAAATTATAATTTATGATATTAATGTTTGAAAGCATATTTTATAGTTTAAGAAATTAAATTATTTTTTAAATATGAATGCTGTTTTCAATCTAAATATAATTATTGTCATCATAATATGCGATCAACATTTATTTTATTAGACAAAATTACTTATGATTAAACTATGTAATTACTATCATTCTCTGAACAACTAGTAAAGTTTACATTATGGTAGTTTAATATGATATTTAAAAAGTAGGTTTTGTTAAATTATCATTTGCATTTACATTTTATTCAAGTATATCTTCAATTTATATGAATTATTTGCAATTTGAATATTAATGCTATTCTAAACGATATTACCATTAAAAATTTTATTAGGAAATTATACTTTTAATTAAACTATGTAATGATATTTGATTAAATATTTAGCTAATTATGTATATTTTAATAATGCAATTATACTATAATTATTATAGTATAATTACCAATTATATTTTAAATAAACTTTATATCAAATAAATTAATTGATATGTCAATTTATAAAATCTATTCAACAATTTTAATTACAATGAAATATTTTTTACATTTTAATTAAACAATTAAATAATTTATTGACTTAAACCAAAATGTGAATAAATTAGATAAGATAAATCTTTTAATATTAAGTTTAATTTATTTATGACCATGAATTGAGTCGACAGTACTTTGAGACACAAGAGTATAATAGGTTATAATATAACCATATGATCCGTATAGAGCCAAATAAGGGTTCATTTTACCATACTAAATTTTGAATAAAATCAAAAGTATAATAGATATCAAAAAATTGTAAATATACATTTTAGATATTTATAAATGACATATCATATTAAAATTTGAGCAAAAAATATT